GTGTCTGTCCTTGTTTTATATCCAGGAGTTGACAGATGAGCGTCCTTTACCTGTCGTCCTCTTCTGCTCCAACAAGACGGGACAGTTGATCAGCATTGCAGAGTTTCTGGCCAACGAGGGCCTCGCCCTCAGAAAGAGGAAACCAAGGTCTGTGCGTGCCACAAGCATGGAAGTGTTTGTGACTACAGTTCTTTATTAACATAAACAACCTTTGCTTTCTGTTTTCCATATAAAGTATCTTTGTATGAGGTTTTATTGAACCTTATTCATATATTTTTAAGAATCAGTACTTTGTGCCAGTATTAAGTGACTGATAGTTTTTAGTTTTAATAATGCCTGTCTAATTCAGAGTGTTTTCTTGCAGAGATGATCTTGTTCAGAAACCAACAGAAACTGATTCACAGTCTCCAGTGAGCGAGACACAAACTCAAGTCTCTGAATGCGAGAAAAAAAGTACAACTAGTCCTCCTCCTCCAGCGCCTCCTCTCGATCCTTTACCCGACTCCCTCGTCTCCACTCGCATCCCTCCGAAACCAGCCCCCCGCACCATCATGTCTGCTGAGAAGGTGATTACACACACACACACACACACACACACACACACACACACACACACACACACACACACAAACTTTAATGCAAATCCTGTGAAATATGAAGCAGTTCATGTGAGTAAATTAGTGATATTACAAATTAACAGCCCACAGTATTACTTTATGGTTCTGGTTGCATTCTGGTTGTGATGTGCATTTGTGTATGTGCGTGAACAGGTGAAGACTCCGTTGTACGACCCCCCAGAGCTGCCATGTGTGGGTCACATCCAGATAAGTGTGTCCACCATCGGAGAGGACGGTCTCATTTACACCAGAACACAAAATGCAGGTGCACATCGGAGTAAATCTTCATTTTGTGGATTCTGAAAATACAATACAACATGATATTTTATTATAGCATAAAGAGTGTGTGTTTGTGTGTGTGTGTGTCAGAGTGTCAGTTGGAGCAGCTCAAGGAGAGGATTCAGCAGAGCATGAAAACGCTGCCCAGACAGAAGCCCTACACTTGGAAGTCAGTCCGGGGCTGTGCCGTCTTTGGACCTGACATGTCATGGTGCAGAGGTCAGCTGCTGGAGGTGCTCGGAGGACATGTCAAGGTCTGGAAATCACACACACAAACACACAAAAAACATGAACCTTTACCAATCCACCCAATAACAATGAATAGACGCACAACACTGTGTCACTTTATTCCTGTATTATATTGTTTGTGTGTCACCAGGTACAATATGTGGACTTTGGCCACGTGGAGAACATCCCAGTGGTTCATGTGTACCCCATGCTGCTGTGTGAAGACGTTCCTCAGCTCTCTATGCCCTGCCTGCTGCACGGCATCAGCCCTGTAAGAGTTTGTGTGTGTCGGCATAAAAACCAAAAAAAGTCATCTGGTCTCAAAAGCACAATTTACTAGCTTTTCAAAGCCTTCATCTTCAGCTAGTAGGACAAAAAAATTCTAAATGAACATTTTATAGAACACATGATCTGAACTTATAAAAATGCAAATGTGTGGTTCTTTTAAAGGTTTAGATGAGAGTTTGTGATCCTGCAAGTTCCCGATATGAAACCTCACGGCAGAGGAGGATGGTTGAATGAGTTTGTTGATCTTTCTTGCATCAGGGTTCAGAATCAACCCTTAAAGTCCAACGTCGTTACATCTTTTGCTCAGATTGGCGGCAAGTGGCAGCCAGACGCTGTGGCCCTGCTGAGGGAGCTGTTGCTGAACCGCTGCGTGGACATGCACATCATGGTAAACTTCACACACCTGCCTGCAAACTTCTGTAAATCTTAGAAGGATGACTCCTGCTCACAGCACCGACGTGTTGCAGTGATTGGTCTGTAATAATAAAAATAATGTATTTGAGTGTAGGAGTGCATCTTGAAGATTTTTCACATTTTGTTGAAGAAAATGTAGAAATAAATTGATTATAAAAAATATTCCTCTAGTGGTTTGAGTTGTCAAATGCCAGTAAAGTAGTCTGTGACCCTCAGTGTGTGTTTGTGTGGTAGGAGCTGCCATCTGATCCGAGGGAACCCCTCACAGTTGAGATCTTCCTGGACGGACTGAGCCTCGGCAGGATCCTCTGTCACCATGGACATGCCTCCATGGAAGAGACAGTGTCAGAACAGAAGGTGTGTGTGTGTGTGTGTGTGTGTGCGTGCTCCTGGTGTTTTGTGTCACCTGATGACGCGATGCTGCCACAGTCAACACAGGAACACCTTGTGTTTCTCTGCAGGGCCCCTCAGCGACGTCTCCTGCCGTCTTCCTGGATGACTGGGACCTTGACACTGAGGTATTGTTACAAGCATGAAAACTGGAAAATGTATTTGAAGAACAACTCACTTATAGAAATGATTTAAAACTAAGGATCAACCTGATGTGGTGACACCGACCAAACCATTTAGTTGTGGATTAAATGAATTTGGTTGAGTATGAGCAGTTGATCATCCAGATGAAATAACTAAACATGAGAGTTAAATGTTTCATTTGCAGCATCAACCAATACCGAGTAACTTTGTGTCAGTGAAGATCCACTGGATTTTGTGATGCCGTGTTTTCAGGGTTTGAAAGGTCCAGAGGAGCCGATGTTGGGGTCCTTTGTCAACCCACACCTGCCACAGAAGGGAGAGCGGTTTCAAGTCAGGGTCAAGCACCTGAGGACTCCCAGCGAGGTAACTTCTACCTATACTGATCAAATGAGAACTGATGACAGGATGCTAAAAAGATCTGAAAATCCCCGTTTGTTTTTTAGAGCCGGTTATTTACTGCTAATAATGACGCTAAACTACCAAGTGATTCATGTGTCTGTGTTTGTCCTGCAGGTGTTCCTGTGGCCTTTGGAGGGAACAGCAGAGGTGGAGGTGGATGGAGAGAAACTGGACGAGGCTCTGACCAGAATCAATGAAAACGTCACCAGTCTGCAACGACTGACCAACTTCTCTCAAGGTAATGTCTCACAGTTTTCCCTGAACTGTCTCCGGGCAGGTTAGAGCTTTTCAAAACCTTTTAAAGCTGTTTGTTTGAATTGTATGTACATATTAAAATCAAATGTTTTAACACCAGCTGGAAACGAGTGCGACGACAGCAGGTGATCGCAGTGTTGCAGATGTGTCTGTGAAGTCTGACAGATCTGTTTTTCTGCTCGTGGTTTCCAGGGGCTCCTTGTCTGGCAGAGTACAGCGACGGGAAGTTCTACAGAGCCACGCTGAAGAATTTCACCACCGTGGAGCCACTCGTGATCATGATCCAACACGTGGACTATGGCTCTGAGGACGCTCTGCCCGTCAGCAAGTATGAGCATCGCACAGCAGGAACAAGTGACTTTCTGAACCAACAACATTGACGGACAGAAAAGAACTCATTAACTTTGGGGTTCGAAACCAGGATTCTTTGTTTCACTTTCATTTAGTAGTTTAAAACTCACCCTCCAGTCTTTATATCACATCTATTGTGATAGAAATCTATGATCATGACAACTCCTCCTCATATTTACAAAGTAAGGACTTTAATTTTATAGAGTTGAGACGAAGCAGTGAAGAGTAGATAACAAGTTTTAAACGTACAGGTTTACTGTGGTCACTAGTAGCCTCCACAGGTCAGCATACAAGTTACTGTCCTCAGGATCGTTCCAGAATTTATCTTATGTTTATATTCTATTTGTTTTATTTCTCTCACTAATTATATCTTAATTTTGTGTGGCTGCTGTGTGGCGTTCTTCCGTCGCTCCCCGTCAGGCTGCGTCAGATGCCGGCCGAGCTGCTGAAGTTTCCCATGAAGGCGCTCAGGGTCAAAGTCGCCGGCTTCAAGCCTCCGAGTGTCAACAGGGAGGAGAAGGTTCTGCCCTACAGCCCCAGCTGGAGCGTGAAGGCTGCCCTGGACATGATCGACCTGCTGCACAACATCACTGCCTCTGTCGTGGTGCGAAACACACAGCGACAAAATAAAAAAGACCACATGATGCTGCATCTCACATTGATGCATCTTCCCTCTTGTTGTGTGTTCAGGCGTATGACCCGGAGCTCACAGTTCTGCTGTACAACAAGGACGGAGAGTTGGTTCATCTGCCTCTGGTGAGCAGCGGCTTGGCCGAGCTCGAGTGAAGCAGAGTGAAGATTAAATCCTCGACTCACGTGAGTCATGTGAGTTTTCAGCTTCATTTCAAATCTGAACGTGTTTCATGTTACAGACAACAGTTTGAGTTTCCTGTCAAAATAACTTTCCATTCATTAGAATGTGACTCCTCTCGACTGTTCACGTTAATGTCACAGTTTTTATCGGATTAGAGAGAAAATGAATCTGCTAAACTTTATCAAGTTAATTTCTCTGGTTAGTCTCTCCATTGATTTTCTGTCTGTTCTTAAAACCCAGATTCTGAGTAGTGAAATGTTTATTGGACAGAATAAGTATTTGAAAACACACCCTTGATTTTTGGATCTTTTTCCGCAGGTTTACTCACTGACGTCCTGTTTTGTTGATCATTTCATTCGACTGCTGTTTTAAGTTTTATCATGATGCAGAAAATGTGCACTTGTCTGTCACAGTGTTCTTTTAGAGCAGTGATTCATTTAAAGTTTGTTTCTAACTGTTGTGTTTGAGTGAGATGTGTTGACATTTTGTTTTTGAGTCGTGCCTCGTGAGACTCTGTCTGTTACAGAGTAAAGTCGTCCAACGTTCTGCCGTCAGTTTGCTTTGTAAATAAATATTCAGAGTTTTTCACAGATTATAAATAAAGACGACGGCTCCACCTGGTGTCTGGCTGCAATATTGGTCATAATCTCTGCCTCCTCCATGTTAGCAGATAGGACACAGATCAAATTTAAAATTCAAAGCACACGTTATGAATAAATCTATTTATCAGATACTTTTTTTCACACTGATCGAAGTTCAGGTGTTGATGTTTCTTATAAGTTTAGTTTTAATCAGTTATTAGTTGCTATAGAAACCAGGTGAAAAGTCAAACAAGTATATCATTGGCCACAAGAGGGCAGAGTCCACCCTGGGATATTTCAGCTTCAATTCTGAAGTGGAAATAAATCATCCTAACAACCATTAACAAAACAAAGATAAAATTTATTTTATGGTCAGCTAAGAAAAATAAATACGTATTTAAAATTTTTACAAATTTAACTTACTGCAAACAAACACACATTTCATAAGATCGTGTTTTAAAGGGTAAAACACATCGGATGCTACAAACAGACGTAGTGAAGGTCGGATAGCTGAGATGTGCTATTTAAAAAGTTAACCTACTTCTACTGAGGGCTGAAATAGGACAGTGGTGTAAACGTGTTTCCATAAAGTGAGGAGGCTCAACTTTCTCACTTTTAAAACATAGCATTTAAAAAGAATTAAAAATATTTTCATCGGCTTCCTTGGACCCATGTGCAGTAGAGTTTCACACGTAGCCTCGCTGTGCTTTTTGAAAAAGTAACGTTGGCTTTGACGGTGTCTCTACGCCCTGTTGTCCAGGACAACGTTCCCATCTTTGTCTTTGATCCTGAGGCGTCCGCCTGGGTAGCATGTCTCCTGTCTGCCGTCGGCATAAACTGTCTTCACGGTGCCGTCCGGATACTCCCTCCTCTTGTACTCAGACGTGTGGATCTCTTTCTGACCTGTGTTGAAATTTATCTCCTTGGTGCCGTCCCTGAGAAAAACCACAGGATTTACAGCCAGTTAGAGTTGATTCATCACAAACTTATAACATCAGCCTGGATCAGAAAACAACAGGTCGACTCAAAGCAGAACGTAGAGAGGATGTTCTACTTCCACCTTCTTTTGCACATTCAGTGTTTCTGTGTGTCAAACATGATAGGAAACTGAATTTGTGTTTGGTTCAAAACAAATTTGAGGACATCTGACTTGTAACAGGCTGTGGTTTTACTTACGGGTTGACCAGAATGATGGTCCCGTCTGTCAACACGCTCTCCTCTCGGCCGTCTGGGAACAGGTTCTTGACCGTTTGGTCTGGGAAGGTGATTTCCTTCCGACCATCTGGGAAATGTTTTTCTGTAGCACAAAAAAAAACAACAGATGATTCATAATGTACAACGCAGTGTGATGAGGACTAGGGATGTATCGAAGGCAAAATTCTTACATTAAACCACAGTTTACTGTCTTTATATTAATCTAAATTTAGACTGCACCATTTTCTTTATTATTCTGAAAGTCAAATACATTCAGCACCAAAGTGCCTCAAACACCACAACGGGGAAAAAAAGGTTTTTAGTCTTTATGACATGAACACGTCTTCCAGCGCCTGCTCTCACCGGTCTGGTTGTTGGAGAAGTGCAGGACCTCCAGGCCGTCTGGGTAGGTGATGTGAGTCGTCTGAGCGTCAGAGTAGTAGTAGATCTGAGAACAAGGAGCAGTGGAGTCATTAGTGCTTATTGCATTAAGCTTAATGCTCAGCAGATTTTCACCTGTGAGCTTTCAAAGAAACAACTGATTAGAAAGGTCCTGACATCGACCCTCGACCCAGTGGAGGTGGTGGCCGTCACACCTCTGGACAGTTTGTTTCCACGTTTCATGTGACGTAAAGTAGAAGTCTCACCACTCTCTGGTCGGCTGTGACCTGTTTGGTGTCTCCGTTGAAGAAGGTGACCTTGACCGTCAGTCCATCTGCTGAAACCTCCTTCTTGGTGCCGTTGGGGTAAACAAGGAGGCGATCACCACCTCTCAGCGTGTGTTCTGTCTGGAGGAGTCAGAACCAGAAATTAACATAGAAGAAAAATGGATTCTTCCTTTTAAAAAAGTAGCACATCAACAGTTCCGGGGTATACAGGGGTCTGACATACCAGCAGCCTTTAATTTCAAATTTGAAAATTTCCTGAATGGACTCAGGTTCCCATCAAGTAATGACTTTTCACGATTTCACATTCTTCCACCTTCTTACCTTCCCATCAGGGTGTGTGATGACCTCCTGCGCTGGTTCTGCTTCTTCAGTCTTGCTACACTCGGGTTCTTCTGGCTGAGAATCACTTTTCTACAAAAAGAAGATAATGATAATTCCTGATGATAAATTACTGGACCTGGACATCGTGATCGACGGCAGCAGTATAGATTTGTTAAACCAGAGACAGAGCGGCCGATGTCTCTTACCGGAGAGCAGCTTTCCGGTTCTTGGTTTGGCGGTTTGTCCTGGCTCTTGTTAGCAGCTGTTGACTTCTCCTCTGTTCTCCTGCCCGGCAGTGAATAGGTAGAAGTGGATGAGGAGGAGAAGGCACATGGTCCTGACGGCCTCCTCAAGCTGCTCTTCATCCCTACTGACAGTGACAATCCACACAAAACAGAAATTAAAAGAAATCTTCACTTTTCAACTATTAAATTTGGGGATGTGGGATTATTAATCGTGTTGCCTGCAGGGGTCAGAGTTTCTGAGTATATCTGTCTCTGTATCAGATTAAACTGTTCAAAATAAAAATTGAGATGAAGGAAACCTGAACTAAAAGACTTTTAGTGTTTACACAAACTTCATTGAACCGATCATCTCTCTGGCTCTCAGACCAAATGTATCAACTGATATGAATTTATAAATCTGCCAAAACCCATAACTCACCCTGACTGCTCTCTGCGGAGCTCCTTCGACCTGCTGCAGTGATGCTGCTTCCTCTAGAGTCAAGAGGACTCTGAAAGTACAGAGAAAGAATTTGTGATTGAAAAAAATTGCTCCATCAAAAATTGGGGAACATTTGAGAGAGGAGGTGTCTATTTGTCAATGTAATACTCATGATAAGACTTATATTGTCACTGTCACTTCTACTCAGAACTATTAAACAAATAAACAATGGAAATGTGTTTACAGCAAATTTCACTCCTTTGGTAACAGATGAAACAGGGTTTGCAGATATTCTCAGGCCGTCTTTAGTTTCTTTGTCCTTCTCTGCACTGACAGGGTTTTTCTTCCAGGCACTGAGACGAAGCTTTTCCAACATAAGGATCTTAAATTAAAAGACAAATAATGATTAGAACACAAAAACATTTTTTTTCTAAACACCACATGGCTGCAATTGAATACAACTGAGTTTTTAATGTGAGATGTAACCGGGGTGAAAAGGGTCAGAGGTCAGGTGGGTACCTCGTCCCGGAGAGAACTGTTCTCCTGGCTGAGGGAGTCGATCTGCTGCCGCAGCCGGCTGTGTGTGGAGCCCCAGCGGCTCTCCTTCCTCCGCAGCTCCTCCTGCACGGAGCTCAGCTGCTGCTTCAATGCCTAACAGGGAGAACAAGACACATTAAAGGGGAGTTCCAACTGTTTCAAGAGCTCACACATAACTTCTTTATGGAATTTTGAAAAGGAACGGTTAAATATTTCTTGGCTGGAATTTATCAACATGAGAACTACTGGTTTTCTGTGTAACCTGGATTTCCTCTCGTTCCTTCTTGTCAGGAATGGCTCTGGCAGCAGACACATGCTTCTCAAACAGTTTGCGCTCTTTCTGCAGTTTCTTGTTTTCCTCTTTCTTGTACTCGTCAAACTTGGCCATTTCCTCCAACTTGGTCTGCTCAAGCTCCAAACGCTCCCTCCTGAAAAAGAACCAATGACAACAAAGTAGACATAAATCACACAAATCCATAAATCATCAAAATATGTCCACTCACAAAAAATACACATGAAAGAGATATTACTTATGAGATATTTATCATTAAGGGTCTCTTAAAATAACCTGATTTTTATTAATAAAGACTTTTATGCCACCAATTTTGTACAACAGAGAGCTTGAAAACCATCAACTTGGAGTCACTGCATTTAAATGGTATTAAAACATGGTTAAGTGCAGAGGGCAGGATCACCTGAGGTTTTCCTGGTTTTTCTCGTTCTCCTGTCTGAGTTTAGTGAGGGCAGCATTCTCCTTCTTAAATCTCTCTATCTCTATCTCCAGCTCCACCAATCTCTCCCTCAGCTGTCTCGACTGGACCTGCTGACCTGGGGACGAGGAAACACAGCAAACATACAATTGAAACATGCCAACATTCAGATTAAGATCTGCAAAGTTGAACCAAATATGAAAAGTGTAACTAACACAGGCTATAATGGATAAAAGAGTTTCTCACCAGTCTCCTCCTCTGGTTTTTTGGGCTCATGAGCCGCTGAAGGAGGAGGCGGGAGATTCTGGACCTTCGGCTTCAGCGAGGGAAACAACCTTGTCATGAGCTGGGAGGCCGGGGGAGCTGGAGGCTCTGGCTCCTGATTGGCTGAACCTATTACTGTGCCCGTATCCAGCTCCACAACTTTGCTCACTGCCACCTTCCTCAACAAAGTCCGAACTGGTGGGGAGACGCTATTGGCTGTTGTCTCAGGAACTGGACTGACTCCTCTACTGTCATTGGGAGTTTCCACCGTGTTGTTCCACGTGTCGTCATCATCAAACACAACCCTCCCCTGCTGCCGATCTCTGTCCTCTATCAGAGTGGACTCATCAGGATTGCTCAGCACACTGTCGCTTTCCCCATCATCATCTTGTGTCACATCTGAAGCTCTACAACTGTCCTCGTCCTGATAGGACCACTTATCGTATGGTGGGTTAGACTGTGCTGGGAAGCAGAGGGTGCTGGGAAACAAAGGTGGTTTCCCTACCACTTCCTGGTCTTCAAATTCAGAGTCAACACCCGAGTGATCTTGTTTGTCTTTTCTCTCAATGTCCTGTTCCTCTTGATCCTCTTTGCTCATTTTGTTCTTGATTGGATCATCTCTTGTCTTCACCACAACTGCTTCTGGGTTCACAGAACTGGTTTTAACACTGCCGCCAACGCCACCGCACCTCTGGAGTTCACCTCTAGGAGGAGACTTGATGGGGGTGGAGGAGAGCCGTCTCTGGTAGAGCCCCTGAGCGACCTGCAGCTGCCGGTGCTGCTGGTCCATCTGAAGAACCTACAAGTACAGAACAGAATCTTTGAATTTTAATAATCGCAGCTTTACAACGAAAACAACATACTGGTATGAGAATACATCCCTGACTTAGAACAATCATAAGTAATTGAATAAAACACCTTCATGACAAAGGAAGAGTTGGATGAGAAGGACAGCTCCTCAGCTGCCTGTTCCAGTAGCTCAAACTCTCCCAGCTCCATGTTTTCCAGCTGCCGATCAGACTCCCAGTGGTGCAGCTTCTCCTGGAACGACACATTAAACGAGTCCACCGGAACTCCTCCTCTTACGGACCCTGTTCTTCCTTCTGCCGATTCCACTTCTGATCCACAGCTCTTCTCTTTAGCTGTGTGATTCTCAGCCCTCCCTGGTCCTGCCAACATGCCCACCTGTTTGGTTACAGGGTTTGGCTGCGTGTTGTGAGGCCCAGGTTTCCTCACAGTCTGAGCAGACAGACCCACTGTCCTGTTATTCTGTTCCTTTACTTGCCCTGGTTTGGTTTGTCTGCAGTCTGGGCCAGTCTGAATAGATTCTGATCCTTCAGTATTCTGCCTTTGATAACTACCTAAAACCGTCCGTACAGTCTTACTTTCAGCTTTTATGTCCTGAGGTAGCAAGCTGAAGCATTTCAGTCGATTTTCCTTGTTAAGTATGGCAGTTTTACGCTGGACAGGAACCCGCTGGGTGCAATTTGTGCCACCCTTCTGGATAGATGCAGGCTCAGAATTACTACGGGAGATTACTCGGGCCTGGGGTGGTGGTTTAGAGCCCTTCTTCACCTCCTTTTTTGGTAATGAGGCTTTGCGATTGTTGGTAAATCTAGAAAGCCCCTCGCCTCGCTTCAGAAAGGCCCTCTTAGGAGGGGCTTGTACAGCTTCAGCTCCATTTTGACTCTGTTAATGTGAGAAGACAAAATATGAATATAAAAGAAGAAAGAAGAAACACTAATCGCTTATGTGTTTAAGCTTCCTTGAAAGCACCAAAAAGCAGAGGTTATGACATCGTAAGTGTATTATAAAACTAATCTTCACTAACTAAATGTTGTTTTGAAATATATCCTGATGATTTGCAGTTTTGTAATAAAAAAACATTTGTTGAGTTCTCTGACCTGTTGTTGCTGAGCAGACTTCAGCCTCTGATCCTCCAGCCTTAGTTGCTCTTCCAGCAACTCCTCAAACGTCTGCTTGTGAACCCCGATGCCTGGTTGAATAGGTCTGGTGAGAGAAAACATGCATATAAAGCAAACGTGTGTATTGTCAAAATGTGGTCAACATAAAAACAACACCAGCTTGTTTCAGCTTCATGGCCTCATGTGCTACTTTCTGCACCCTCGAGTATGTAAGACCTGGGTGATGTAAATTTTGTCAGAGGGTGTACGTGAGGGTCTGAACAGAAATGCATACCCTCCAACTTTATGGTCTCCACGCATACTAGAAGTATAAATAAGAACAACTACGCCTCTGTGGTCTCTGCAGCTAACGTACAGTACATGATGCTTTAGTTTATATCTTAGTTTAATACTAGACATAGTTTTTTGTTTAAATATAGTATGTACCTGTCCTGAGAGATTGTATCTTCTTTTCTACCATGGTCTTCTGTCAAATCCACACCGTTACTTTGGATTAATGTGTCATCATGCTCCTGAAAAAGGCTCGTTGCTTTTCTCTGTTCCTGGTCATCAGTGGAGTTCCCAGAGTCTGTAGGAAACATTTACTGTTAAAATTTCATATGCAAGTGAATTATTACAGGTGTTAAAATCAAGGCTAAACATGCAGTGGTCTTACTGCAAATGCAAAAATAAAACTGAGAAACTTCCACTGTCAGCTTACAGTAAGTAAATAAGAAAACTGCTCTCTCACCCTCGTACTTGTTGTCCACCTCCTCATGAATTTGAACTCTTGGTAGCCACTCCTGTCTCCCTGAGGGTGAGGGCTGTTGCTCCTTTTGAAGGCCACATACAGAGCTCGTTGGGATCCCAAAGTAGTTTATGTTTTTGCAGTATGGGCTCTCTCCATGATGAGAGTCTCCCTGAAGTGAGTTGTCCTCTTCTTCTGCTCCTGATAGCTCTGAACTCTCTGAGTAATCTGTAAAGTACATTACAGTCACTTCACACTGGTTCAGTAAGGAGACAAGGAAAAATACATATATTCACTTCCCTCCCCAACCTGTATATTTTACATACAGTATGAAGAGGAACAAATGATCACATTGCCAGGTATTCTTATCATTTCTCTTCCCTACCTCCTTCACGGTGCTCAGATCCATTCATCATTCCGAGCAGCCTCTGCTGCTCTGCCTGAAGACGTAGCAACTCCTCTAACTGATGGGCCTTCAGCTCCTCCTGCATGTGTTGCTGCCATTTCCTCAACTGCTCAAACACACACCAAATTATTTTCAAATAATTAGATAATAGTAGATAACAGTGTTTATCACCAAGAAGATCTACAAGACATTTTTTGACAAACACTCTTTTCCACACTTGTTTTCCAACATCCCTTTACATCTATTTGTGGCTGCCCACCATAGTGGTAAGATGCACAGAGTGATAAATCCAAGTTCTAACGGACTTGTATGGACACACTTCCATTATTACTTGAGCTCTTGCCAACACAAGTAGTCTTACAAGAAAAACACTAAGAATAGCAAAGTGCAACAGGTTTGTGTGTGAGTGCTGCGTGCTGGAGAGTGGGGGGATCAAGTAGAAAAGAATCAGTGACTTAATTAGCGCTGACTCCAAACATCAGCGTACATCCTGACCTGACTATTTATAAAAGTGCCTTGAGATGATGCATGTTGTGATTTGGCACTATACAAATAAGACTGAATTGAAGTAAATTGAATAAGTTGCTGCTCTACCCTCCAGTTAGTTGTATATGTTGAGCTGTTAAAACTGAACTAAACAACTATCAGTGTCAATAGTATATATCATAATACTATATCTATTTAAATATGGGAAGTCAGAAGATAAAGTACATGTAGTGGGAAGAGCTGCCATGGACAGGTATTACAGATGTATTATTGTTGGTGTAATCTGACTCTGAATTACCAAAACTAAACAATAAGATGTAATCGATATGATTGTAGATACTGGAGATGAATATTTTCACAGCCAATGCATAAATGTCAAAGCACCATATTCTGAAATGCAGTGAGGATTTTACCTGTTCTAGCCTCATCATTAGGGGCTCATCCTGTGATTCATCCAGACTCTCCACCTGTCCACCTGAAGTTCTCCTGGAGACAGAGGCCAGATGGTTCCACGGCCTGTCACTCCCAGCCCTCACTTCTCCTCCTCCAGGAGTCTGTGCAAATCCATCCGCACCCAGGCAGCTGCTGTCTGCCGATGCGGTCAGGGGGGCGAAGTCTGAGGCGAAGGAGTCGTCTGGCTTCATGGGTGAGGATCCCGCGGCAGGGGTGAGCCGCGAGGACCCGGCTAGAACCGGACTGGGGTTGAGGATCACCCCGGCTCTGTTGCTGCTCGGCATCCACCGGGCCAGGAACTCTGCCTGGGAGTACCGGGGCCCGTCTGGAGATGACATGGTCACCGTGTCAGGCAGGGCTCGCTAATCCGGGATTTGAACGACAGATTATGGTGACAGGTTAGGGGTTAAATCACACCTCGAATAAACAGAATCCAGACCATGAACAGATCCAAGAAATCTATATTTGGAAACTGCTTTAGTATGAAATAACATTAGACATGAGCTAATTAGCTGTTATCTTAAAGTTGTATATGGGTTTACTGTGACAGTTTAAATGGGTGATTCTTTGGTTGCTAACAAAAAACACAACTATTTCAACACAAACCGTGAAAAAATTATTAATTAATTCAACTTTAACTCTGCTCTAAGTGAGCTTTAGCTCGCTAGCTTCCGATGTCTTTTAAAAGTCTCCGCGTCCTTTCTGCTCCCTCGTTGTTTTTGTTGTTGTTGTTGGGACCGAACGTTTTATTCCACAAACTAAAAGTAGTTTTACTCGAGTTACGCTGTAAATAAATCCACAACTTTGATAAAAGTTTCCCAACGTGTCGAGTTTACCTGCAGCTCCGGAGAAACAAGGTTTCACTGCGTGGGAATCCTGCGTTTGAGAAACATGACGGAGTGAAGTTTCAAAGGCTGCCGCCATGTCAACACCGAGCCCGCGAGAGCAGACGAGCCGGCGCATTATGGGTAATGTAGTTAAATACATATATTTTGAATCGTGAGATTCCAATTAATGTTTTTAATTTACACAACAAAATGTATTTTATGTCAGAGACTCACTTTATATAACATATTATTATTACAATCTTTTTTTTTATCAAATAACTTTTCTTGGAAAAAAGGATTAGAATCATATCCGGTTCAACAACGGTTCCCTTAAAAATATTTCACAATAAAAGCGATTGAGCGAAAAACATCTATCGTTCCGTTCAGCTTTCTTTTTTTTTCTTACTTTGAGGCATTTATAAATATCTACGTTTTATCTCAATGTGTTTTATCGTATATTTACTTTTACAGTTGAAGTAAACAAGTGTTTGATTCGGAAGTTAACCTTTATTTTTTAAATCTACAGCGCGGATGTGCTTCTTTGACGGCTGTGATTGGTCGATACGAAAAAACTGAATCTCACTTTTGAGCATCTGAAACTGAAGCTGAACGTGTCCAGACAATGGAGAAGATCCAGTGTAATGTTCACGGTAAGTCTCAATAAGTCAATGTCAGTTTTTATTTACTCTAAACACAAGATGTATCATTATTTATGTGGAGTTTCCGGAAGTCTTAGCTATTTTTTATCCCCTGTCAAGACACTTCCATGCACATTTAGCTCAACAGAACCCTCTTGCTAACTTGCTAATTGATGTGATTGTCCTCTCTGTGCTCACCCAGGTGGTTTGTGTATGTTAAAAACCGGAGTGAAAGATGGACCGAGCAAAGGAAAGAGCTTCTACGTCTGCGTCGACAGGCAAGGCTGTGACTTCAGTCAGGTGGCCAGGTATTCACACGTTTCCCCTGTCGACCCCTTCACACTGTGACAGGGATCCAGAGAAGATGTCAAGTGCAGCCTGTAAAAGACATGGAGCTGAACCCACCACAGAAGTGACAACGACGACTTCCTGTGCTAGGATGACTCAGGGAAAATTAAAGGTTCAGTGTGTAAGGTTTAAGTGAAAGGGACCTAATGGCAGAAATTTGGAATATAAAATAATCTTAGAGGTGTTTTCACGAGTGTGTTCCATCTAAATTGTTTGAGTTGTTGTTTTATTTACCCAAGAATGAGTCCTTTATATTTAAATACTTTATATTTACATCGAGAGTGGATCCTCTCTATGGAGGCTGCCATGTTTTTTACAGAAGCCCAAACTGGACAAACTGTATGTAAATTCTGCACACTGACCCTTTAAGTGTTTCCAAAGGTCTAGTCGCTCAAAATAGAGTCACATGAGACATCTTTTTAGATTGTCACCATTCTGTCTTTTCCTTTCAGACTCAAATGTCTTATTTCTTTTGGTACACACTGATATTTATAGACATTGGGTCATTGTGTTGTTTAGGTTTAAACTGTCTAACATTTGGAAAATTCTCTGCATTATCATTCTCATCCCCCCAGCATCTCGCCATCCCACTGCCTCCAGCATGAGGATTCAATGGTGGAGCTCCAAGCTCTCACCTACAGTCAGCAGCAGCAGAGCCACAGGTGAGTGTGCAGGTGGACAGTGCTATGGTCATAACACCAGTCATGTCGGTTATTAATTATGCTAGTTCCTGCGATTAGGGCTGAGTGATCAGAAGGGCAATCAGTAGAGTGCATTCCTCCTAATATTAAAGAAATCTTTGAACGCGTCTGTTGGTCAGATTGGATCTTTGACTTTTACTTTCATTCTGTTTTTTTTCCAGGTTATTCTATCGGTGTGTCATAGGTAAAAAAGCAGGCCAGAGGTGGTGTGGAAGCGTACCTTGGACTGCGGTAAGACAGCACCTGTCACCGATTTTACATTGTACATTCTTATTCATATACTGTGACGTCAATGCCTTGAATATTTTTCTGTTGTATTCCATCTTTGCAGCCAGACAAAGAAAAGAGAAGCCCTCTATCTGACATGCAGCTCCAGCCCTCCTGTCTGCCACCTGTCCGAAATCCCTTCAAGGCCCTTTCCAAGCTGGACAAGGACTCAGAGTGGAGAGGGATGCAGTGTGGTGGAGGTAAGGAGAAGGGAAGAGATGAGAAAGATAGTGAGGCAAGTCACAAGGTTAAAGGAAGAGAAAAGAAAGAAAGTGTGAAGAGTGTTGGGCCACAAGTGGAAGAAGAGGAGAGAAAGAAGACTGATTCCCCGGATTCTTACCAAGGTAAACAGCTTCCACCAGGCATGAAGATAAAGAAAAGAGTTTCGGATGAGGAGAGAAACGGTCCCAAAGCTCACGAGGTGGAAAACGTGACGGATAAGATTAAAAACAAGACTGAAGAGACCAACACTATGCAGGGCAAAATGGAAAATACTATTTCTACCTCCAGCGTCACTGCTTTTCATCCTGAGAAAATGAATAAAACCTCACAGGATTCTGCTACGGTTATGCCACTACAACCAACCAAAGATGTGGTGAAACAATCTGACTCTGAGGTGAAAGAGAGCGTTTCAAAATCTGCACCCAGCAGCAGAGACTCTTCTAGCACCAGTACCCCCACAAATAACCAACCGACACAGTCCAGTCAAACCAAAAATCCCCAAGATGATGACGACGATGATGTTGTGTTAGTGTCAGTGAAAACTGCCACTCCTCCTGTCTCTGCTGTACAAAAAACCCTGACCAGCTTCTCAGGGTTTCAGCCGGCGTCTATGATCAAAGATCAACCGGAAGATCCCAGAAAGCTGCACAGCCTGCTCACTGCTCAGCTTCAACAGAAGAAGGTGAGTGAAGGACTGAGGCTACTCATAATGTTCAAAAAGAGTCTCGCCTTTTTAATGTCCTATATATATATATTCATATTTATATCTTGTCTCTCTGTCGGCCCCCATTTTTCCTTCTGACTAGGCCACTCTGTCTGTGGTGAACGTTTCGGCTCTGCCAGATAAGGGGGAGAGGTTGAAGACTCAGGTCAAGGATCTGGAGGATGCACTGGAGTCTCTGCGCCTCACTGGTGCTTCTCATCCAGGTAAATAAACCTCTCTACAGAAGCGAAGAAGATTTCCCCCAATTCCACTTTAATCACAAATTATTCTACTTAGCCTCTCACCTCAGCTCCTAATCAATCAGGTTGTTGTGAGTCAGTAGTCAGAACTTAAACAGGCATCAAACCCTGTTTTGAAATCAATATATTCTCAGTATGAATCAACATTGACATGTATGCACTTGGTACCTGCAACAATACAGGTAAAATAAGCTCACCTCTGCAGAAACAACTTCAATTCACTTCACAGTGTGGAGAGCACTTTACATTAAAGTGTGCATTCTAACATGGTACCTGTCATATACAGAGTCCGAGGGTGAACATCACAGCAGTGATGTGAGACCAGGTAACAGTCAGTTCAACCCCTTCAGTCGACAAGGGGGCACCATCCTGCTCCCTGCCCCTCCGGCTCCAGGCCCCTCCAGCAGTGCCCTGGGGCTCCAGCTGAGCCAGGGCTACACCCAGATGTACGGAGGTAGGCTGAACAAGAATTTCCCTTGAAAAATATCAGTTAATATTATTTGAAGCAAAGAAACTGAGTTGGAATCTGAATTGTTGCATCTCTCATTTTCATCTTGGTGTTGTATCTTTGCTATTCTTCTCTGCATTTATGTTAAGTAACTTTTATTTGTGCTTTACTATTCCTTTAAATACCCTAATCCTCACTCCTTCTTGCCTCCAGCGAACCCGCAGGCTCAGGCCTTTTACGGTGGCAGAATGACCAATGACCGTCTGCTGGCGGTGAAAAACGCCACCTGCGAGGCAATTGATCACCTCCACAAATCCCTGGAATCCTGTCCCGACGCTGAGGCTGAAGTCCCAGACCCAAAGGGCATCAAGGTATCGCTGTCCTCCAGTCTGCAGTCTGGTTTTTCATCAGTGCTTCACTAATCTATCTAATACCACTAATTAGATATCAGGGCATGATGCATCACCCCTGTCTACATACCTTTGTGTACTTTTAGTTTCGACCGAAAGAAGAGTGGAGGCTCTGACAACAGCAGTGTCCACATACTTTTGTCCATACTGTATTTGTAATTTTGAATATAAATCATCGGGAGAGTCTATATTGTCTTTTGATTGGTCAGTCACATTACTCTAATAACATTGTCTGCTTGTGATTGGCTGTTCAGGTGTCGCTCCTGGCTCATCAGAGGAGAGCTTTGGCCTGGCTGCTCTGGAGAGAAGGCCAGAAACCCTGTGGAGGAATTCTGGGTATGTTCACCATTTAACAATTTTACCTTCAGGTGTTTTGTTTATACAGGTTATCATCCCGTCCACTTTGTCAAACTCTTACTGAACAATCAAGCGCAAAAATAAGAAATCAGACCAATCAGTGTGGTTTATTAAAAAAACATCCAAAGTTTAAAAAAAAAAAAAAAAAATCTAATGTGACCTTGTTATGATATCAGGTGTCAGAGTCATGTAATCGTTATTTCCTCATCATTTCCTCTCTTTGTTCTTCTCGCTCTCACTTTTTTGGAATCAGCGGATGACATGGGTCTCGGGAAAACCCTGACCATGATTTCTCTCATACTTGCCAAGAATATCAAGGCAAAAGAGGAAGAAGAAAAGAAGGAAGAGAAGAAACTGGAGAAATGGATCTCCAAAAATGGTAACGAGATCTCTTTCCATTTGCTCTGATAAAACAGGCAACATGACTTGTATATGTTTATCATTTAAATTTAGTAACACCTCTTATATTTTTTGCTTTTGCTCATCACCAAGACTCCAGTCTCGTGGTTTCTAAAGGAACTCTGATCATCTGTCCTGCCTCCCTGATTCACCACTGGAAGAAGGAGATTGAGAGACATGTGAAGACGGGCAGGCTAACGGTGTGTCTGTACCACGGTCCCACCCGAGAGAAAAGCGCCAAAGTGTGAGGGATCTCATACACACACACTCTCACACACACACACACACACACACAC